TTTTTTTCTTCCTTTTTTTATACTTACATTGTTCATTAGCTTAACTTTCGCTGAATTCGTATTGCTCGTCTGTTTCGTAAAAATACATCTGTCAAGCAAAATGTACTTGCGAATGAAGATCAAAGTATACTTTAACGAAAAATTCAAGATTTCTCTTTTTCGCTTCTACCTATCTATGCTTGCCTATGTCTCTCCATTCGAAATAAAAGTTTTCACATTGTTACATATATCATACAGTACTTAATGACTGTATGATAATTATATTGTCATAAAGATTCGAGCAATAACGTTGAATAATTTTTTATTATTAATATTTGTACAATGCAGATTACTTTTATAATTAATAAGTCATTTTCATTAGTAACTAACAGGTCATTATCATTAGTATTGTCATTAATATTTCCTGATTTGGTTCGCGTGTAAAAGGAGAAACGCCGCGTCATGAGTTATTGGGAATTTAATTGTTTAGACTTTAATAAAAAATGTGTGATTTTCCCGTTATTTGTTAAAGAGCTTTCACATCCTTTCTAGATTTATCATTCATATAAAAGATGGAAGGTCTCGGGTCGGAATATTTTATTATTTTTCTTCACATAAGCAGTAATTTAAATTTTTTAATACTCCAGTTCTGTCGAGACTGTACTCTCCCTCAGCGATGATTAATATTAAAGATGCGATACTCATCATAATATTTAGAAAAAAAATTAATACGTCCGTTATCCTCTCAAACATTAATGTACATTACAATATACGAGTACACGATAACGCGCCGTAACTTTTATATATGTAGTCTTCGAAAATTTTAAAGAAAATTTCTCGGCTTTTATCTAGAGAAAAGGTCCAGTAACTTTCTGCAGCCCTCTTTCTGCTAAAAATCTTTTCGAAATATCTCATTCTTTTAGACGAAGATTTATCTTTTTTTTTTTAATGAAAAAATGAATCTCTTTAAAGTAAACCGAGGTAAGATTAACTTCTCTAATTAGAGCTTAACTTATTCAAAGTCTCAACAATTATGCCATAAGTTTAATGCGAAATCGCTTACTCAAGGAAAGTAACTTTCCTTCAAAGGATATGCTAGGCATTTTACTTATAATTTTTATAATATTTAACGCTCTTATTTTATCACTTAATTCAAGGAAGAATACTTGTGGTCCGATTATACTTTCATTTCTCAATTATATATTTCAATGTGTTGTATTAAAGTAAGGTAAACTAGAGTATTATGGCTATATTAATAAGATATAACCATAGGTTGTAATTTCTTTAATAATTGTGCTAACATAGAACATTTTTGAAGTCGTTCTGAAAGATTATGGCCATTTTATCTATATGGCCATCTTACCTGAATTTACCCTAATTTTCTTTTGATATAAAGAAGCGTTTTTTAAATAAAACTTTTATATATTACAATTTTTCGTTGTTGATTAGCTGAATTTCGCGAAAAATTTTTAATAAAAAAAAATGTCTGTAAAATGTCTGTAATGTTTTTTTTTTTTAACAATATAAATAATAACAATAATAACAGTAATAATAATTTCAATATAATAACATTAATAACAGTATATATTATATAATAACCATATGAATAACGGAGATGGTAAATGTGTGCAAATAGTAGCACTTAATGAAAACATTTAGATTGTCGAGAAATATAGAGGAGAGGCCCCTATTATGAGATACCGAGTTCATTTTGTGTAATTACTAAATGTTTATTGGTAGAATTAAAAAAAATAATAGGTCATTTTGAAGAGAATTTAATAAGCTTTAAGATAGTGTTATGTAAAATTTAATTCAAATTTTATTTTATTTTTTAATTAAAGAAATGTAAAAGGTGAACAAATCGCAAAGTCGAAAAATTGTTCTCCTAATATGAGATACCCCGAGAAATCGATAATAAAGCACAAAGTACATCAGTATTAGAATTAAAAAAACTTTATTTGATGATAGAATCAACAAATAGCATTTATTAGTTTAGCAGAAACGCCACTATCTCATGTTAAGCGCCTATCTCATAATAGGGGGCTTTCCTCTATACCTACTGATAAATGTTGTTTATTTTTTTCATTTTTCTATTTTTTATGTTTTTATTTTTTACATTATTTTTTTAAATATTTTTTATTTTTTTCATTTTTTTAAATAGAGATATAAAGGATTCGGTTACCTTATGTTTAAACTTTCTAATAAAATAGTTTTATTTAATTTGTAGAGAAATAATAGGTTATGTTGATAGCATTGAAGCTCCACGCTTACTTGGAAGTAACGAACAATATAGATTTTTTAAATTTTTCCTCAACAACGGAGATGGTAAACGGATACAAATAGTTGCGTGGAATGAAAACATTAAAATAGTGGAGAAATTTATACAGATTAATGTTGTAAGTTTAATAATTTTTATAAATTTCGGTAATCTTATAACATTTAAAAATATTTATTTTATTTTTGTTATATAAAAATTAGAATACTCCTATAATATTTCTGTATTAATTAAAAATTTATATATCTTTTATTGAATTAAAAAAAATTTTTAATAAACGAAAAAAATAATTATTCTATCTTATCACAAATATTTAGTTAGAAAATTTTAAATCCTTGATCAATAAATTATAATTATATATTTCAGTAATGTTGATTTCTCATTTCAATGATTTCAGCAAATTATTTCTAAGAGAACAAAAGTTATTATTATCATTATTATTATTATTATTACAATTATAATCGTATTAATGTAGATTGTATATCTGGATGGTGTTCAAGCAAGACCACCAAAAAATGCTTTTTATAATATAATGGCAACATGCCATTTGTATTACAAATTCAAAATAATACAATAATATCTACAATGGGAAAATACATATCCAAATGTAAAGATATAATAATTGATAAAACAAAAATAAGTGACGCTTTTGATACTTCTAACCGCATCAGTAAGTTGTGTGTTTGTGTGTATGTGCGCGCGCGTATGCGCGTTACATTATGCTATTAATATAATTTTTTAATCAAACGAATACCGACGAGAACATGCCGGTTAAGGTAGATCTCGGCTATTTCTATATAATTACTACATTTGTAGATTCTCTTAACCCTTTAACGCCCAAATGTACAAATTTTCTTCATGAAGTTTGACACAATATTTTAGCATTAAAACTGTATAGGAAAAATTCTGCGATAGCCATTTCTTATTGGCCAAGGACCGCTCTTTCCAATGGTGCATGCCAAAATTGTTTAAAGTTTCAAATAAAAAAGTTATACTCTTTTTTTTAAAAAAAGACATGAATTTTCTTGGTTTTATTTTCAATTTATTGAATTTTATTATGGGTAATGGCATTAGAATATCTCTAAAAGTCGCAAATATCGTGTCAAAAATGAATTTGCTATCAGATACGGGTGTTCCGGGAAAAAAAAATTCAAGATGGCGGACACAAAATGGCGATAAAAGTTAATATTTTATGTAATATCACAGCCATGCCTACAAAATGGAAAAAAATTAATAGATTTTTATAAAACTTGGTATCCTAGCATTTTTGAGGTCGCTGATCACGAATCTGGAGTCAGTTTTCAAAAACTCAAAATGGCGGATCCAATATGGCGGAGGAAATTTTTAAAAATGAATCAAATTCACTTGAAACTTGTTGCTTGGGAGTTTTTGGGGTCGCTGATCACGAATCTGACGTCAGTATTTAAAAATTCAAAATGGCGGCCCTAATATGGCGGACGAAAATTTTAAAAATTTGTCGGATTCACTTGCGACATGTTATTTAGGAAATTATGAGGTTGCTGATTTCGAATCTAATATCAGTATTTCAAAATTCAAACTGTCGGATTATCCAAATTATCTTTTATGTTCTTTCTTTTGTTTCTATACCTTTTTTATGATTTGCATAGAATCTTTCATTTGTAGGCAATACAGTGAAGTTTTAGGTGAAAATTTTTTTGAGCATCTAAATTGAAAGTAAATAAGTTATTCATATTTTCCGCAATGCATCGTCGAAAACCTTCCAATATTGAAGGTACACAAAATGATATTTCCGAAGGTAACCGCAGAGAATTATTTGAAAATGATGATTGCATTGATGTCGCAATAATACCTGATGCAAGTAATTCAGATGTTGATGATGCTTATGATGATAGTGACGGAGATAGCGAGAGTGAGATTGTAGATATTGATGAAAGTACTATAATGTCTTATATGCAAGTGCACAATAATTACTCTAAGAGTCAAAAATTTTTGGAAGATAATCATCAATATAGCTGGGCCGATGGAGAAAAATCATATAAAAACAAACTCGACAATGAATATTTATTGAAAAATAGTGATCAAAAGATTATTCGTGAGGTTCACCAACAAAAATTTTTGAATTTTTTTTTCAAAGTCGATGAAAGAATATATCATAGAAGCTTCTACTCAAAATGGATTAAAAGTTACATTGTCCGAGTTAGACATTTTCATAGGTATAATAATTTTGTCAACTTTCAATAAACGCACATCCGAAAGAGACTATTGGTCCACCGATTCCTTGTTAGAATGTCCCATTGTAAAATCAGCAATGTCTCGAAATCGGTTTTTAGGTATAAAAGCAGGTCTGAAATGTGCAAGAAAAGCTGATGAAAATGCAAAAGATCCTGCTTGGAGAGTAAGAACGATTTTCGAGATGTTCAAAAGCAACGTAAAACGCTATGGTTACTTTCAAACAGCTCTTTCCGTAGATGAAATGATGGTGAAATTTAAAGGGCGTTTGCGTTTTAGGCAATATATAAGAAATAAGCCAGTGAGATTTGGTATAAAAATGTGGGCTCTGTGTGGGTCAGATGGTTATTTATACGAATGTGATATCTACTGTGGAAAGTATTTGAAAAGTGATGGTAATCTATCAAATTGTAGTTTGGGAAGTCGAGTAGTTATAAATATGACAGAAAAATTTCTTCTGTCAACTTCTCGAAAAAAAGTAGAGCAATATCATCTATACTTCGATAATTACTTTACAAGTCCGGACTTAATCATTCATTTACATAAAATTGGTTTGAAAGCAACTGGAACTGTAAGACAAAACCGTGTAAAAGAAAATAATAAGCTAGGGAACAATGTTCCACGAGGCACCATCAAAGTAAAACACGAGAAAAACAGTGGCTTGAATTATATTACTGTAATGGATTCTAAAGAGGTTTCGCTGCTTTCAACAGCTGCTGGTGTCAATCCACTACGAATGATGCGACGCTACTCACAAGAAAAAAGAAGTAAAGATGATATTGCAATGCCTAATGCTTTCGCAAATTATAATAAGCATATGGGTGGTGTAGACACACATGATCAGTATTGCAGTACTTTACTACCTATATTCAGAAGCAAGAAATGGACTTGGGTAGTACTCATGCGATTAATCCAATCATCCATCTCTAATGCTGTGATACTGTTCAATACTGTGCAAGAAAGTGGCAAGAAAGCGTCGGCCAAAGACTTTGCAATGCATATTGCAAGAACGTATTTACAAACGAAAGTCGTTAGTGCCCTGAAGGCCCATAAAATGCAGAACGAAAAAAAGCGGAAACACTGCTCAGGTGACACCTGCCACATTCGCACATACTTATGGTGTACAGACTGCCAGAAATCTTTCTGCAAAAATTGTTTTGAACAATTTCACTGCGAATAATATTTTTTCTAAAACGTATGCTTCAAAAATAAAAAAAAAAACAGAAAAATGTAAAAAAAAATAACAAAATTGTAAAAACAAAAAAAAATTTTTAAAAATTAAAAAATTAAAAAAATTAAAAAAAAGGCTCTTTATTCACGTTCACCTCCACGCGGTGAGAGTCGGGCAACGTCAGAAATATTTTGGTAACACTGGCGGCAAGGAAACGTGACTCATGTCAAAATGATTGTTATTTTGGTTTTACATAAAGTATTTTGAAATTTTAGATTATCTACTTTGAATTATTGTAAACAGGCACCAGATTCACGCTGATCACCGTATTGGAAGCGCCATTTTGAACTTATCAAAACTAACAGCAGGTTCGTTACGAGTGACAACAAATAACCCCAATTAACAAGTTGCAAGTGAATTCGAATAATTTTTAAAGATGTTGTCCGCCATATTCAATCCGACATTTTGAATTTTTAAATACTGATGTTAGATTCGAAATCAGCGACCTCACAATCCCGTAAATAACATGTCGCAAGTGAATCCGACAAATTTTTAAAAATTTCGTCCGCCATATTGGGGCCGCCATTTTGAATTTTTTAATACTGACGTCAGATTCGTGATCAGCGACCCCAAAAACTCCCAAGCAACAAGTTTCAAGTGAATTTGATTCATTTAAAAAAATGTCATCCGCCATATTGGATCCGCCATTTTTAGTTTTTGAAAACTGACTCCAGATTCGTGATCAGCGACCTCAAAAATGCTAGGATACCAAGTTTTATAAAAATCTATTAATTTTTTTCCATTTTGTAGGCATGGCTGTGATATTACATAAAATATTAACTTTTATCACCATTTTGTGTCCGCCATCTTGAATTTTTTTTTTCCGGAACACCCGTATCTGATAGCAAATTCATTTTTGACACGATATTTGCGACTTTTAGAGATATTCTAATGCCATTACCCATAATAAAATTCAATGAATTGAAAATAAAACCAAGAAAATTCATGTCTTTTTTTAAAAAAAAGAGTATAACTTTTTTATTTGAAACTTTAAACAATTTTGGCATGCACCATTGGAAAGAGCGGTCCTTGGCCAATAAGAAATGGCTATCGCAGAATTTTTCCTACACAGTTTTAATGCTAAAATATTGTGTCAAACTTCATGAAGAAAATTTGTACATTTGGGCGTTAAAGGGTTAATTGCGCGCCGAATTTTCTTTAATTTAATAATTTTTATACTCTTTACGCATCATTAGATCGATCTTAATAATGTTCAATAACAAATTAAAAAATTTGTAAATCATTAATTTTTCATTGCGAAAAATATTATCTCAGCCAGGAGTTGAATCTGGATTTCTTGCATTCCATGCGAGCATCCTAAGTCCTAAATTATCTTGGTATTTTAAAGGCTTAGAACTAGCATTCATGGAATGCTAGAGACCTGGGTTCGATTCCTGGCCGAGGTAATATTTTTTCGGTATAAAAAATTAATGGTTTACCGATTTGATATGTCGGTAAAAATGTAGATTAGGGGAGCCCCCCCCCAATGACCTTGATCTTGACATATGTTGTCATGACCCTGAGTGACCTTAAGAAAGTTTTAACCGTCGGACCTAACTCGTTAAAAAGTTATTAACAATTGTGATATTATTCAAATTCACACGCAATTATATAGAAGCACACGAGACTAGCTTGACCAAAATAATTATAAGTTCTCATCAATATTCATTTGGAGCAGGGTCTTGGAGAGTACTTTGTGAGTGATTTAGAATAGACACAACCTGATGGAATAAGAATGAATATTTATTGAAAAATGGCTCGTAGCTTGTCGCATCCACACATATTCGTGGTTACGAGACAACTGCCTTCGCTGGCGTTGTCGTCGTTCGTCTCGCCTAGGGTCGCGAACATAGGCGAGGTTTGCCGAGTCTCGCTCGGCTCGACTAGGACGTAGTAACGCGCGAGAGTCGCGCGTCTGTACATCCGAAACAGAAATATTCAAACTACTTTGCTTTAACACTACCGCCGTTTGATTGTTTCTCGTTTGTTGATAACATGTTTATTTTGTGGCATAGGTTTCTGAAACGGTCTCGCGGCAATGCTTTTGTGAGTATGTCCGCGCGCTGATTCTCAGACGGTACATACTCGACTCCAATTTCTTTTTCGTTGACTTTCTCGCGAATAAAATGAAAGTGCACATCTATGTGCTTCGTTCTTTTATGAAATACTGGATTTCTGACTAATTGAATTGCACTCTGATTATCGACATAGAGTGTTGTCTCTCTTTCGCAGGGAGTTCCGATGTTCGATAACAGTTTTCTTATCCAGACTACTTCGCGAGCTGCTGTCGACGCAGCTACATATTCGGCTTCCGTCGTACTTAGCGTTACCAGTCTTTGCCGTTGTGACGACCACGTGACGGCCCCGTTCGCGAGACAGAAAACATACCCTGTCGTCGATCTTCGCGTTCCTAAGTCTCCCGCGTAATCAGCGTCCGAGAAACCTATAAGCTCGGCTTTGCTACCGCCGCTTTGATACTCGATGCCATACTCGATCGTGCCTTTCAAATACGAGAATATTCTTTTGACCGCTTGCCAATGTGCCGAGTTATGCTCGTTCAGATATTTGCTGACAGAATTTACCGCGAACGCGATGTCGGGCCTCGATACGGCCGCTAGAAATACTAGGGATCCGACAGCTTCGCGATACGGCACATTGCTCAATTTCTCGTCTTTTCCTTCGACCGGCGCGAGTGCTGCGTGAGGATCAGCCGGCACGCACACCGTTTTCGCGTTTTCCATGCCGAATTTTTCGATTATTTTTCGCGTATATGCGCTCTGATGAATCATCAGAGTTTTCCTTTTTCTATCGCGTTCGATTTCAAGACCTACGAAAACTTTCGATTTTTCAATTGTTATTTTAAACGCTTCGCCAAGTCGCTGAAGAATCGTCTTAATAGTCTCTACATTGTTCGAAGCTACTAGTCCGTCGTCGACGAATAGTGCCAGGTACACTTCGTCGCCTCTAAACTTGCCGGTAAACACGCACCTATCCGCCTCGCACTCCTTGAAATTAAATTCACTCAGAAACTTGATGAATCTAGTGTTCCAGCATCTCGGAGCCTGCTTCAGTCCGTAGAGCGATTTCTCGAGCTTGCACGCTACGTTCCTCGTATCCTCGTCCAGCTGCAGTCCTTCCGGAATTTCCATGAAAATCGTCTCTTCTAATTCGCCATACAAAAATGCAGTTTGTACGTCAAACTGCATTGTCTCGAGATCCTTTGCTGCGATTGTCGCCAGCAATATTCTCAGAGAGTCGTACCTTATTACCGGTGAGAATGTCTCCTTGAAATCGATGCCTTCTCTCTGCAGGAAGCCCCTCGCACATAGACGAGCTTTGAATCGACGCTGCTTCCCGCCGATATTCTCCTTTATTCGAAAAATCCATTTCGAATCTATTAGTCTCATCTCGGGGGATCTTCTCACGATTTTCCACGTGCCATTCTCTTCGTGTGCTTGGAGTTCGTTCCGAATAGCACCCGCCCACTGCGCGGCTTCGGCGCTATTCGTCGCTTCTTCGAAGGTCAATGGTATCTCGTATTCGGCCACGCTCGCTTCGTGTTGATATCTCCTCGGAGTCTGAATTGTCGACCGATCTCGCAGAATTCTTCGACCTTCTAGGTCTTCCTCGTTCTGACGTTCGTTTCCACCGTTGTCGTTTCCTCGTCGTACTTCGACGTTCACGTCGTCTTCTTCGTTGTCGACGTCGATCTCGTTTTCGATTTCGTTTCCGATCTCGTTCTCGTTCATTCGTGCTTCGGACGGCGGAAAAATAACTTCGACTTCTTCTTCCTTCCTTTCTACGTTCGCCGACGGTGCTCCGACTTTCTCGTTGAAAATTACGTTGCGAGCTACACTCACCGTTTTTTTTACAGGATCATACACTCGATAATTCGTAGACTCATCTGTATAGCCGACGAATATCTTTTTGCTCGCTCTTGCATCGAACTTTTTCGTAAACTGCTTTGGAGTATGCACGTATACGTCAGATCCGAAAATTCGGAGATGCTTCAAGTTCGGAGTTTTCCGGTTCCACGCTTCGTACGGCGTTGCTTCACCGCTCGCCCACACGGTTCGATTGAGGATGTAGACCGCGCAATTCACCGCTTCTGCCCACAGACTCAGTGGCAGATTTTTCGCGATTATCATCGTCCTAGCGCTTTCCACAATGGTTCGATTATCACGTTCGGCTTTTCCATTTTGTTCCGGATTGTGCGGCGCTGTCGTTTCTCGCTTGATCCCGCGTTCTTCGAGGTATCGATTCATTTCGCTATTGCAGAATTCTCGGCCGTTATCCGAGCGAAGAATTTTCATCTTCCGACCGAATTTATTTTCGATCGACTTCTCGAATATCTTGAATTTTGCACATACCTCGGATTTATTTTTCATGAAGAACACATGTCTGTAGCCCGTCGCTTCGTCCTTGAACGTCAAGAAGTATCTCGATCCTCCGACCGAGTTCGTCGACATTGGCCCGCAGACATCCGAATGCATTTTCTCACCCGGCTTGATTTCTCTGTCGCGCTGCACTTTCTTATTAAACGGCAGCCTGTGCAGTTTTCCGAACTGACACGGCTCGCAGAACACGTCACTTTCGTCGGTAATGTCTACTCCACTCACGAGTCCTTTTTTCGCCAATTCGCGAATCGCGCGCTTACCGACGTGTCCCAGACGCTCGTGCCACACGGTCAGATTCGTCGCGGCTACGTTCGCTTCCTCGACACTTCCGCGTTTCGCGACTTTAAGAAACATGCGGTATACGTCATTGTCCTGCTTCATGCCTGTCGCGAGCACCTCCTTGTCGCGACTCACGACGACGCGATTATTCTCGAAACACACCTCGAGTCCCTTTTTCGTGCACATGCCGACGGAGAAGAGATTCTTCCGCAGTTGCGGAAC